ACACATGCCTTTTGCAGGGTCCCAGCAAGCGCTGAAATCTGACCCTGCTCCTCTCAGAGGGGCTGTCCTAAGCCCCTGGTTGTTCAGATCTCTGGCTTTCTGAGCAAAAATCTTTAGGAGGAGGAAATTTAAGCTATGTCTTACCCTAGACCCTCCCAAACAAACTCCAACTAAGCAGGGAAGTCATTGGGACCCCAGGACATCAGCTCTCTAGCAAGAGACCTTAGCGACCTGGTTGAATCTTCTTTAGTCTTCAACCCAGGGTCAGGCCAAGTTCAAGACCTCAGTGTTTAGGTATCAGAGACCACTGCTGAGAAGGAATGATAAACATCCCAGAGTAAGATGCTATTACATATTTCAGACCAGAAAAGCAGGTGTGTGCAATCAGAAGAGGGGACCACCTGGTAGAGTGAAGAGGGCACCAACCCCTCAGGTGTAGGGAGATGAGACTCTCCGCAGTGACAGCCCTGCCATCAGGGTGAGTGGTACCATGCTGTCTGCTGTTGGAGGGCTGGAGGCTCACAGAGCAGGTAGAGGAAGTTGGCAGAAACAGCTGGAAACAGGTGTGGTTCAGGGCTCAAGGAGAAAGAGAGCCAGGCAGATACTGGTTGAGGTGAGAAGACTTCACTGACCCAGAGCCACGAAGGTAAAGAACACAGGCATATTAGGCCACCAGGGAGAGAGGCAAACAAGTGGCCTTGGCCATGTGATGAGGCACCTGCTATCTGGCACCTCCAGGAAGTACAGCCTGTCCCCCTACCCTGTGTGGAGTATTCACAAAGCCACATTTGAGGACGCATGCACATGCAAACACTGCCCAGATATGAAAAGGCATGCACACACACACACACACACACACACACACACACACACACACACACACGAAAGCACACTGAGAGGTCAGAGGCCATGTTGACCTCCAGGTGACAGAGCAGTAGTGAGGATTTTTTTTACTCTAACCTTAGCAGTGGTGTGTCAAGGCCCTGGGCCTGCCACAGCAAGAACCATATCTTGGTCTCACAGCACGACAGCTCCCATGTACCTAGCCTCACCAGGCAGGATTCTTAAACATTATATGCATCCTGGAGGCCCTGGCTCTGGGCAGGGTGGGCAGACCCTGGCAGATGAGGGTTGTGCTGCCTCTTCAAGCGGTGCTTGATTAGAGCCCATGCTTTCCCCAACCCTGCTTCACTCCTAACCACAGCCGTAGCCTTGGCAGGATGGGGGAAAGGCCTACTCTCCTCTAGCACATTCTAGATGCCCTCCCTCTCATGCCTTTCTTGCCCCTGTCCATCATAGTGTGTCCAAACTACGTATGGAGGGTAAGAGCTTTCTGTGCCCACCTCTTCTGGGATCTAGATACCCTATGTCTCCACCTCTGATGCCTCTGCAGGACCAGGGATTGCATGGATGGGGGAACAGAGAGCCTAAAGTATGCTGTCTGCCAGAACTGGGTCTCCATCAGCCTCGTTCTCCTCATGTGCCCTCCCTGGAAGCCCTGCCAAGATCCCCAGGCTTTGGAAACAGCCTCAAGGGTCAAACAGGTCTACCTGATGTTCCAGTCCATCTTCTGCAGAGTAATCAGGCATGTGCTATGGCAAACAATGAGGTCAGCCTTGGGCCTGTGACTCCCAGCTAGGTAGGGCCTCAGGGTCCCTTTATCGGCAGTTACTGAGCTGGTATCTGAGTCACAGAAGTATTTAGGCCCGTGTCTGATCCTGGGGATTTGTGACTAGGGGCCTCCTCCCCTTGGCTTTGCTTGCTAGCCTCTGAGTGTCTGTAGACACCTGGTCAGCATCCCTGTACCTGTGGCTGAATTTGGGATTCTAGGTCATTCCAGACCCAAAGTATGTTTGTACACCCATGTGACCCTGCCTCCTTGTGAGCCTCAGCACAGTGCCAGGAACCACTTGGTGTGGGTCCCCACCTAAGAGCCAACCATGGAACTCTGAACTTTTCTTCTCTGTAGCCCCTATATCTGAGGGCTACCTTGACCACTAGATGAATGGCACATGGCGGGAATGGCAGCTGAGCATTAGCATTGCTCCCACTGCCCATGGAAACACACTACTTTGCAGGCTGCTGCAATGTCTGCATAGTCTGCCATTTCTTCCCCAGCTTTACCTACTAATAAATCACATCCTCACTCCCTTTCTTCCCATTCATATACCCACCCATCGTCTATCTATCCAATCACATATCTACTCACCCACCTATCAACCCAGCATCCATTCATATACCCATGCATTCACTCATTCATCCATCTACCTACACACACATTCACACGTCCATCTATACAGCTGCCCATTATACATCCACCACCCACCTGCCTATCCATCCATCTCTCCATTTAGCCATCCCCTGTTCATGATTCATCTCATTCACCTATCCATCACCCTTTCTCCCCATTTCCTTTCCATTTTCTCCCCTCCTTCCCTCCCTTCCTCCTCCCCTTCTTCCCTCTCTCCCTCCCTCTGTCCCCCTTGCTTCCTCCCTCCCTCGCTTCCTTCCTTCCTTCCTTCCTTCCTTCCTTCCTTCCTTCCTTCCTTCTTTTTCTCCTTCCCATGAGAAGTTGTTGAAGACATTAGGAGCCAAAGACCAGCCAGGGTAGTTTGGCTGAGGCAAGCCTGTTAGGAACATGGAATCTTCTGTACAGAGCCTTCTGGTCTGATGAATCAGCACCTTTGGAATTGACCTTGGCAATCTGCCACTTTGGGGGCAGAGCAAGCTGTGTGGGTCAGAGACCCTGGACCTGCTATTGAAATAGCTATCCACGGCGAGCCCCCTGCCTTGGCATGGGTATGTAAGTCTCCACAGGAAGTCTGAACATAATCTGACCCCCCATGCCATTTGGGTTTCTAGTCAGGGGGAATGGTGTGAGCCCTCTAAGCCCCCACCAAGGATTCACCCTAGAGGCCAGAAGCCCTTCTGTGACACCCCTCACATGCAGCCAAGAGTGACCTCAGATTCCTGTGTTCTAAGTTTCATGAAATAAAGTCCCCCTGGCGGTTACGCCTGCCATGAGGTACAGGTCCTGACAGCCACCATGTCTGCTCTTCTGCTCTTTAGTCTGGTCTCACTGTGTCACATTCACGTAAACTATTTCTGGAAACTTGAAGTCCAAGTGACAAGAGCTCAGGAAAGTCCCTGCCTCCCTGCCCTTCTCCTGCCTGTTGGGCCATCATTTCTTTGTATTCACTCACTTGTTTGGGTGTGTCTGAAGGATGCACATGCACATGTGGACATGCATGTATGAAGGCCAGAGGGTCTCGGGAATCACTTCCTCAGGCATCATCCACCCTTTTACTTTTGAGATAGGGTAGATATGGATGTATGTATGAGTGTATGTGTGTGCTGGTGGGTGTGTGTGGTGCATTTGTGCAGATGCATTTGTATAGGCAGGTATGTATACATGTGTTTGCACACACATGGGGTGCATATGTATATGGGCATGTGTGTCCAGATCCAAGGGGGAGTATGTATTTGTGGTACGTGTGTGTTCCAGTACTTATGTGTATGTGGGTACATGTGTGTGTGTGTGTGTGTGTGTGTGTGTGTACCTGCATTTGTGTATATGGGTTGGTATGTGCAGGCATGTATGTTCGCAAGTACCTATGTGTGTATGAGTGCATCTATGTGTAGAACATGTGTATATGCAAGTGCATGTGTGTATGCAGGGGCATGTTTAAGTACATGTCTATATGAAAGTATATTGTGTAGCCAGGTATACACAAATAAATAAATATACTTTTAAAATAAAAAGAAGAATCAAAGGGGAAAACAGCGGTTGTCTTCTGAGCCACAGCTCAGGAGCTACAGGACACAGGATTGCAGCCTGCTGACCAGAGCTGAGCTCCTGGCCACAGTCACCTGCAGAGGGCGAGGGTGGGCTGGAGGCTGCAGGCATTTGATGGAAGAATGTACATGACACCGACATTCTGCTACTAAGGAAAAGGGATACTGGGGTCCAGCGCCAATATCGGGTGAGAAGGCAGCTGTGACTGAATGAGCACACTCAGCAGCAGTTGGAGAAAGCCCCACGAGCACTGAAGAAGGTCATGCAGGGGAGGGTGGTGGTGCAGGGGTATCTGCCACACAGCAAAGACTCCTGAAAAACACAAGGAAAGGCAGGAAACTAAATCATAGAAGGGCAAGTGACCCAAGCAGGCACTTCACAGCACAGTGCACCCAAGTATTTGGCAGGGCTGGGGGGCATTTCTGGGGATGGAACCCAAGGACTCACGTGTGCTGGGAAGGCTCTCTAGCACTGAGGTACTCCCCAGGCCTCCTTTTGCTTTTTATGTTGAGACAGGGTCCCACCAAGCTGCCCAAGTTGGCCTTGAACTTGAGATTCCCCTGTATCAGCCTCCCATGTAGCTGGGATGAGAACTTCATCCATCAGGCCTGGCTGCTCACCAAAACTGTAAGGTGCTCATTTGAGAAAAGGGAAGTTCAGTTTACAGCAAGAATAAATAAGTAGCCGATCAGTAGCATCTCCAAAGACCATCTTGCCAGGTATGAGAAGGCCATGATCTGGTCAGAAGTGGCCTGGCTCCCCAGGCACGGGAAGGCTGCATCACTGTTAAGAGGCACATGTGGCCAGTTCATTAACTTAGGAGACACTTAGGAGACAGTGTGGAGGTGTGGAAATTATTCGTGTCTTTAAAGTGTTTGTGTGTATGTGTGTTTTGCAATAACTAATGCAAGTGTTATGAGCATTGTTCTGATATCTCAACATAATAAAAAAGAATGAATAAAAGCATTTTTGTTTCTTTTATGTTTTGTTTTCTGGTGGGAGGGGTTTTGTTTGTTTGTTTGTTGAGACAGGGTTCCTCTGTGTAACAGCCCTAGCTGTTCTGGAACTCCACACAAGGCTGTCCCCAAACTCACTGAGATCCTCCTGCCTTTGATTCCTGAGCACTGGAATTAAAGGCATGTGCCACCATACCTGGCTGTGCATGTTTATTTCTTAAATTCTTATTTTGACAGTCAGATTTTAAAAAAATATGGAATGCTTCATGAATTTGTGTCATCCTTGCACAGGCGCCATGCTAACCTTCTCTGTAGAGTTCCAATTTTAGTATATGTGCTATCAAATTGAGCATATTAAATTCTTAAGATGCTAAAGATGTTAGTTATTCCACCTGGGTTTGTGGAGCTGTGCACATGAATGAGCACATGGGGCAGTAGGAAGCCTAGGGTCAACCTAGTCAACTGTTAGGACATCACCATACCCATTAATTGCATTTGTGTGCATACGTACATGTATATGTGTGTATGTATGCGTGGTATATATGTATGTGAGTGCATGACCGCATGTGTGTGTGGTGTATATATGTGGTAGGAGTACACAAGCATGAGTTTGTTTGGGTGTAGTGTTTATATGTCTGTGAGTACATATGCGAGCATGAACTATTGTGTGCAAGAATACATGTGTGTGTTATGCATGTGTGTGCACATAATTTTGCTTGTGTATTCATGTGTAGGTGTGTGTTTCAACATCAGCCTTCTTGTCACTCCTGACATTATGAAGTGCCAAGTATGGTCCTTTATTCATGTCTACTATGTTTTACAGGAAGCTATTAGCTTATTCCCTTAGAGTCAAGCCCTTGTGGGTTCCCACAAACCCAGGGTGAGGCCTTAGTTCCACATCCTGCCCAGCTCTTAGAATTGCCTGTTTCCTAACTGTCAGTCATTCTGAGTGGCAGGAGGTGAGAACTTGTGGTTTATATTTTAATTTCCACAATTCCCAGTGTGTTGAGTGTCTGCTGCAGTTGGTTGTGAAATATCCCTCACATGCTCAATTGTTTGAACATTGGTCCCCAGTGGTGGTGTTGTCTGAGAGGCTAGGAAATTTCTGGGAGGTGAGACTTGATTCGAAGCTGATTGTTGGGGTAGGGAGCTGTTGTGTGACTTTTCCAGGGGAGTTATGAACAAATGTCTATTCATCCCAAGTACATCACAGGCAACAAACCAAAAGTCTATCCAGCTTAGTGAGCCAGTGATATTGGGGTGCACAACATGTAGGCGATTCCATAGAAGAGTCTCCTCTTTAGCCATCATTATTGTTCATATAATCTTAGGAGGAGCCTTTCAAGTCTTGTTTCATGGCCTTCCAGGATCTTGTAACTTCCCTTTACATCTTTGATCTTAAGCAGACTCTCAAGGAGCTATTGCTTCAGTTAAGAAGTAGCTGTGCAAATGGAGCCTTGAGGGTTAGAGCCAGCCTAAGATCTCTGGCAGCTTTGCTTTGCTTCCTGGTCGGCTAGATGTGAACAAGCTGCACACCCCACTGTCATCACTGCTTCCCCCACAATGATAGTCTGAGTCACCCCAGTCTTTTAGCCAAGGTAACCTGGCCTTGTTGATGTTGCTCATTCTTTAGTATTTGGTCACAGCAACAAGAAAAGTGACTGCTACTGTCTGTGCCTGTAGTGTGTGTGCTGCTACTGTGTCTCTGCCTGTAGTGTGTGTGTGTGTGTGTGTGTGTGTGCTGCTACTGTGTCTCTGCCTGTAGTGTGTGTGTGTGTGTGTGTGTGTGTGTGTGCTGCTACTGTGTCTCTGCCTGTAGTGTGTGTGTCCCTGGTAAATTTGCTTAAATATAATGCCTGACATTTTGAGTTCTTTGCTTCCTTCTTAAATTTCAAGAGCCCACGACCTATTCTTGTCACAAATCCATCTTTGGATAAGTGAATTGCAAGTGTTACCTCTAAGCCATTGGATTGTCTGTTACTATTTCTTTTCTTTTTGTTTTTTCATTAAAAGCAATTTTTCATTTTAAGTTTTTTGTATTTATTTATTTTGTAGAGGCTTGACCTTCTTCTATGGCACACATGTGGAAGTCGGAGGACAACTTACAGGAGTCAGTTTTCTTCTTGCATGGTGTGGTCCTGGGGAGTGAACTCAGATCGTCAGTGGTCAGCATCTTTTCCTGCTGAGTCATCTTGCTGGTGCAAAAGGGATGTTTTATGATGGTGCACAATAGCCTAATGTGGATTGTCTTTGGAAAGATAATGCAAAAACAAACAGGAGGATAATAAAAACAAATATATTACATTTTAGAAGAAAATAGTTGCTTGCTCAAGACTTTGTTTTAAAAGGGGAAATTTAGAGGTGTGTCAAGCATTTTAAACCAAAACAAATTTTTGTTATTCTTTTAACATGTTGAAAGAAGAATAACACATTCCCTGGGTGAATCAGTGTCATTAAGTTAGCCACCTGGGCCACAGAAGCACTCTGAGAAACACTGATCTAAGCCCCTCCCCAACAGCTCTTCTTTAACACACTTTACTGTTGTACACTTTAATTATTCTCCCCTCCTTCCTCCTTCTCCTCCTCCTTGTCTTTCTCTTCTTCCTCCTCTTCCCATCCTCCTCTTCACTGGGTCTGGCCTGACTTGGTCCTGAAAACCTGACTAGAACAGCAAAGAAATGAAGAAAGGACAGTCTCTCTCTCTCTCTCTCTCACACACACACACACACACACACACACACACACACACACACACACACACACACACACGGGGAGAGAGAGAGAGAGAGAGAGAGAGAGAGAGAGAGAAGCTGGAATCAGGTGGACTATGGTCACTCAGAGGGAGCAGCCCCAGCCTTGGCAGGTTTCTTTTACAAATCAGGAGAGGAGGAATTAGCTAGTGTCTAATTAGAGGTCTCTCTAGGGGAGCTGTCTCGGGTTACAGTCATCTGGGAGGAGGAAGCCACAGTTGCTCAGGTTTTTTTTGTTGTTGTTGTTGTTTGTTTGTTTGTTTTTTGCATACAGTTGTGAACAGATTTTTCGTTGGTCCATTAGCTCACAAAAATCCACACAGAGACTTATTAATTATGAAAGCTTGGCCTTAGCTTAAATTTGTTTCCAACTAGCTCTTATAACTTAAATTAATCCATATTTTTAAATCTTCTTTCTTCCACACTCTCTTATCTCTATTTCCCCCATCCTGCTTTCTCTGTTGTCTGTCTGGCAGGCAATGCCACCTTTCTTTGTCCCAGAGCTCTCTCTGACCAGAAGTCCCTGCTACACCTCCTGCCTAGCTATTGACCAGTTAACTTTTTATTAAACCAACCACAGTGTCACATTGTCACACAATATAAAGGAATATTCCACAGCTACACTGGTCAACCCTTTGAAGACATTGGTAGCTGGACCAGAGAAAGGCTTTACCAGTTCTCAGCCTGGCTGGTATCGGAAAGGCTTTGCTATGCCTCTGAGCCTCACTCAGCTGGAGGAAGGCATGGGTTTGAGGCCTTGAGGTTCTGGTCTATCATGCACAGGAGTTCATCCACTCTTTGTATCCATTCAAGGCTTTATCAGCCCCATGTCACTACTTCCACCCTCATTCCCCTCCCTCTCTTCCCTTCCACTTCCTCCTCTTCTTTTTTCTCTTTCTTTAGGGCTGGGGGTGAGAAACTGGGTCTCATACATGCCAGGCAAGTGCTCTCTGTTGAGCTGCACACTCACACATTTCTCTCTCTCTTGTCAGTCAGTGCCTTTGGAAGGACACAAACATTTTCAAAGTCAACAAAGTCAGACACTTGCATTCTCATCTGCCACTTGTGTTTTCAATGCCCCGAGATCTCTGCTTATTACAATTAAGAGATTGCCTTGAGTGACAGAGGAAACTGGACTTTAAAAGCGTATTTGTGAAACTGTGTGGAATCTGCTATGGATGTTCTATTACATTTGATTGACCCTCACTGATGGCACAGGGTGTCGAGTGCCACATCTGCCCAGTAAATACATTCTACTTGAAAAGCAGGTGGCAGGACCCCACTAATGTCCTTCTGAAACATCTTGACTCCTTTAGATTCCACACAGTTTGGAATCCTACTGGCTTATATTAAGTAAAGCTCTAGAGGAATTCAAAGATGGCTAGTATGGACAGTTCTGAGTCTCCTGACTGCTGGGCACAAAGGCCAGGCTCTCAGTTCATTAAGTGTCTCTGTTCTTTTCATTGACTCGTCCTCTTCCTAGATCATTCCTTACCTTTCCCATGAGCAGCAGGCATCCCTGGACACCAGAGCATTGTTGCTCAGAACCATGATGCTGAGTCTCATGCCCCACTGAAAAGGAGTACTGGAGAGAGGCGCTGTGTGACCAGGGGGATTACATCCCCCAGCAAGCCCAGACTTAGGGAACTCCAGTCTCATAAGGGAGCAGCCCTCTCTCACTGTTCCCAAAACTGGAGGAGGACTGTGTCTACTCTCCTGCAAAGTCTACCTTCTGCCCCCTCCCCCTCCCTCTTTGCATTTACAAAATATTTATTTTTGTTTCTGTGTTTTATACGTCTCTATGTGTTGTGGGGTGTTGATGGGAGATGTTATTCTGTATATGTTTCTCATAGTGATTAATGAGTAAAACACTGTTGCCCAATAGGAAAGGAGATATGAGGGACTAAGAGACAAGGAGGAAAGAGGAAGTAGTAAGGGGAGTCAAGATGGAAAGTCTGGAGAGAACAGAACCGCCATTCCTCCCCTCTCACTACAGGGTGTCCACCAGAGAAGACTGCTCAGACATGAATTTAAGCCAATAGAAAGTCTTTATGAGCTGGCAACTACACTGGGTGTTCAAGAGAAAGACCCTGGACCTTTCTCAGGGTGAGCTATTAAACACAAAAAACAATATCCTGGGTTGGTATACTTCAGTTAACAAGAACAGTTAGCCAGAAGCAGAACTACAGAGCCAAAGATCAAGGTTAGTACATTTAGACATTTTCCCAGCACTATGAACTTTGATAGATTAAGTCTTTGTTTTAGTTTTGGCAGATGGTATATAGAGTCAGTTATGCTAAGCTCTGGAGGCCTACTACATACATGTGTGCCTCATGCTTGCAAGTGTGGACAGAGAAGAAAAGGGCATCAAGCCTCCTGGAGCTAGAGTTGTTGATAGTTGTGAGCTGCCTGATATGGGTGCTGGGAACTGCACTCGGGTCTTCTGGAAGAGCAGAAAGTGCTCTTAACCACGGAGCCATCTCTTCAGTCTCCCTTTTAATTTTCGTTCTATTTATTATTTGTTCTGCATGTGGGAGTGGAACAATGGGGGTGTGGAGGTCAGAGAACAAATTGTAGAAACTGGTTCTTTCTTTTACTACATT